GCAATGGGAATAGGGCAAGATTATTCATTGTCCCTCATTAAAGTATTGTGTTGACCTTCACAATAATCAACACATAACAAAATAAGATGTGTTATGCCTCTTTAGACATGTTCAAATTGCAAATAGATTAAAAAAAATCTGCACTCTGAAATTCAGCACTTACGAAATCCTGAAAGGTTGAACCCAACTTCATCTGCAAGATAAGTAAATTCATTTTTTTCTTTTTGAAAAATAAAAAGGAAAGAAAAACAGCTACATTCTCTGTTTTTGAAAATGAAATGCATTAGCCCCTGTCAGCATCATTTTATATCTAAGCGTAAGGACGTGTTTGTACTCTAAAAGCCATTTTTCTAAAGGCTTTGACCTAGTGTTCAGACATCTGTTTAGACAATGAGTATAAAAGGGTATATAATTAGTCTTACAGGGGCGGGAGTCAATGAAATTTAGTCTGTTTTGACCTTAGGAAATGTAGTTTGTTGAATGAAAAAATATACAACAAGCAGTTAATTTGAACTTCTTTTTTTAAAATAAATATGGATAAATCCAGTACATTTCCTGTACTTGTTTAAAAGAATGACAAGAGTTATATGCATTTGGTGACTGAAGCCAAGGTATTTTAAACCCTGTCCGAAAGACTAACTAGCATTAATGTTCTAACAGTCACAACATTTCCATTGTAGAAATTGTACTGTACAGAAGAACTACAGTGCCTTGCAAAAATATTCAGACCCTTGCACAGTTTTCATATTTTGTTGCTTCAAAGCTTACTGTCATGACATGCTGAAGTAGCAATTAATATTTGTTATATACACAACCTACTCCATGCATTCAAACCACAAAAAACACAAAGCAACTGAACAAATGACAGTAATATGAAAGAAAAATGGAAAATATGCATGGTGTCCCATCCAGGATGTAACCTGCCTTGCACCTGTTGCTTGCTGGGATAGTAACCGACTCGCTCATGACCCGAAAGTGGATGAAGTGGTAAGAAAATGAATGGGTGAATAAATTGTTCTGTCACTGAAGGATTCATAATAAAAATCTTAATATAATTTACAGTGGCAGACTTATCTCTTGTATAATTGCAGTTTTAATATGTGCACCCACCCAGGCCTGGTTCAGTGGAGACGCTCACAGAGAACAGGCAGGATGCGGGTTTGCAGCTTCACAGAGGCAGAGGGTTTATTGCCCTTCTAGTTATAGAGGTGTGCTGTTCACCGAGGAGGGCTAAGGGCAGAGGGAGACTGCAGGAAGGGAGAATGGGGGAGCACAGCCCCCCGTAGCTTGAGGTGCAAAGAGATTGGGTGTTATAGGGTACAGTGGGGAAGGAAGCTGTAGCTCAGGGTCATTGGGCAACTACACAGTCCATAAATCTGGGGAAAACCAAATTGTCCAGATGTGGTTCATCAGAGTATTCATTACATTTCCCTTTTTCATAGTTTATTTCATTTAATGGAGTGTATCGTGGGGATAAGTAAAATATTGCACTACAAACAACCAGCACATTAGTAAGTCATTGTAGAGAACATTGCTTTCCGTTGCCACGCTCTTTAAGTAAACACTGTTAGGTTTCATTTTTCCGCCATTGTTCACAGTCTCTTTAGCCTCACTAGAGGTTTGATTAGCATCATTATAATAGATGCAATTTACAGTGCAATGACTATGGGATGCAGAGCAAGTCCTCCCTTGTAGCAGTTATATCATCAAGCTGAGCATATGCCAGGGCTCTTATAATGAATGCAAGTTGACTAATAATCCACCTGTAAAAGCTTCATAGCTCTAAGAATGTGTGTAAATGTGTAGGATCTCTGCAAATAAGCAAAAGATCTCATGGAAGGGCTCTGTGGTGCAGTGGCTAGCATTGCTGTCTCTCAGAGCTGGGGGCTGGGGGTTCAATTCCACACCTGGGGTGCTATCTCCATGGAGTTTCTAATCAAAAACATGCTAACTGGCCAGCTAATTGGCTTCTGAGAAAACCTGGCGTGTTTGTGTCTTTGTGTGCCCTATTATGGACTGGCGTCCTATCCATATTAACAAAAACTCATATAGCAGTTGCTTATATACAAGTTGATTACCATGCTATATCTTTTCACTGCTTTCCCAGTGACATTTCCATGGATAATGTCAAATCAAAACACAGGTGATACAAGGAAGGTCACACCTTGAGCAGAACTCCAGTCTGTCACAGGCAGACAGACAAAGACAAACTCACACTCATACCAGGGTCAATATTCCCAGAAACCATTTATCCTAATAACATATCTTTGGACTGTAGGAGGAAACCAGAGCTCCTGGAGGAAACCTACACAAACATGGGGAGAACATACAGTACAAATGTCAGGCAGATACCACCCTAGGAACTAAACCCAGAGCCCTAGCACTTCAAGGCAGTAGTGCTAACAACTGCACCACCATGCTGCCTTCTGCAGACAATCTACTCCAACATAAAGCAACTTTGAGATTCAGCAATGTGATCACGCATTCGGCCTTAGCAATGCCAGAGAGCGGAGAATTTTAAGCTGGGTTATTTTAGTATGCCAGCTCTACCCTGACAGCCCTGTCTTATATCAGAATGCGTAATGTAGTCATTAGAGGAGAGTCCTTTTGAATCAGCTTTTGCCTTGGGGTCACGATGCACTCCAAATAAGCAGGATGTTCCCAAAGATGTTGAAATTTTTTAGGTTCACTGCAGCTATTATACGTGTCAGCTCCTTAATAAGTTCCCGCTGAGTTATCTGCATGCCAGCCAATGCTGGATGGTGGACAGATAGGGGAGATAATTTGTCCACATCCCGTTTCTTGGCTTTACTGAAGTCCTTTAAAAGCACAGCCAATTACTGGGCTCTGACCCCAAAAAGTACTTGGACTACAGCATCCCATTTGCAGTAATGACCTACTGCATGGCAGACCATTTTGGGCACTGTTATCACTATGGCAATTTATAATTTTCAATTAATGTTCAGAACTTTGAGGTCTAATGTTGTGTTCTTATAATATTCATCTTAGCTGCTCATAAGAAATGAATCCTTGTTGTTGGTTTGACTTGCATAAGCAGGGATCAAATAAGAAAGATATATTTCAAAATAAGAGCATGAACATGATAAAACAGAGTGGAAAATTGAATTAAACATTGGTTTCTCAAGGTTTCATGAATTTTGACTTGCTTTCTGTGAGATTTTGGTATCTTCTTTTCATTTCTGAGCTACAGTAGAAGCCTCTGGTTTGAAATATTTATTTGTTTATTATTTTATAAATTATTAACCATGTCTCAATTTTTATCTTCCCTCAGCTTGTTCTGTCTTTATTACATTCCCTAGGTAGTCCGAATCGCCTATCTCACTCCCTGCACTCTCCCTCTCTTCAGGAATTTAATCCAAACAGAAGTCCAGGTGTGGGATCCTCTGTGAAAATGGTTCTGGAACAAATATCCTTTCCAGGACGTGAAGAAATTGTTAGTTCATGAGTCAATCCCCCCTGTCTGTGTGTGAGTTCAGCCTCTGCTGAGGGCATTACACAGAAAAACTCATTTCGCTCTTTAAAATTTAATGTCTTCCTGGGAGCTCCTCCAATAGACTTTCGCCAACCTCATGTGGATTTTCATCTGTTAGCTCCTGATGTAAATTTGATTTACAGTCTACAGGATGATGACTTTTTGTCCTTTTTTGCTTCCCATGACACATATAGTCAATACAGATTGTACCATCCTTATATCTCTTTTATTAAAATAAGATAAAGATCACACATATTTTGCAAGCTTCAATATTGGTACATCACATTGATTTGTGCAGATGATAAGCTGAATTCTAAAGTGCTACCTTACTAGCTAGAGGTGAACAAATTTGTTCACCATGATCAGATGGGTCTCTGGTCTCTAATAACATTCACTGTCTTCTCTATATTATGCACAAGACATACATTTTCTATGTGCTTGAGTGGGAATATCTATAGTTGGCTCTTGGTGTGGATTCTGGATCAGGTTTCACTGATAGAGTAAAAATTGCATCAACTAATCCTTCAGCAATGGTGTTAAGACGTAATCATGTTTGACATTTCTAGGGGCGTTCATCAGGATGCCCACTTTCACAGCTGTTCTCTGCCTTGTCCTTGAAACCTTTAGCTCAGGCTGCTTATCAATCTTCCCAGCATTCTATATTGCATTGAGAAGTTGATGTATTGTTATATGCAGATAGTGTTTTTCAATCCATACCCCATCTGCTGACTATTTTCAATGCAATGCAGGTTTCTGGTTTCTGGACTTTCTTTCTAAAATAATGTCTCTGTTCTGCAATGTGTCCCTCTAACGTCCCCTGGAGGTCGTGGCTGTCTATGCAGCATCCATCTGCCTGTCCACAGCTAAAAAGTTGTCAGAGATGCATTTGTGAGCCTCCGCATTCCCTCTTCTGCCATTACTGGTGGACAGGATAATATTTATATTGATAATTTAAGTACCAGGGTCAAAATCAACACCATTAATAATAATAATAATAATAATAATAATAATAATAATACTTTATTGTCTATGATGGGTTTTCTACACATTGCACAACAGCAGCATGTTTCTGGTCCGGTGCCGGGGAGTCTGTGTTTTGCTGTACCCTCAGAGCCGTGTGGTTCTGCTCTAGTTCTACAGGATGAAAGGAGGCAGATGGCAAGATTATGTACACAACAGAGCACATGTGTATGTTTCCTCCTCTGTTCGGGGGCAGGTGCAGAGCTTGTGATAGAATACTGAGTGGGATTTGATTCTGTGGACATTCATGGATGTTGAAGGGGAAAAACATTCATTGCCAGGTTTTAAAAGAGTTAAAAGTTTCCTAAACAGTTCTAGACACATGTAACTGAAGTGAATTAAGTTCTTATTATTAGAACTAATCTAAGCAATTAAACCAGAATCATAGACAAAAATGGAACATGCAACACACCCCAAATGAGCAAACACTATCATTTCATGTAATGTAATTACAAATAAAGACAGGTATGCTGAAAATGTAACTTACCTGTTGACAGCATGGCCAGACATAGTGCTAGCAAACTGCAAGGAACTGGGATAAGGAATGGCAGCATTTTAAAAGGCCACTTTACTTTCTTCACATTCCCAGATGGCTTGTATCAATTAAAAAGCTGACTCGGTATTCTTGAGCTTCAATTTTGTCAGTTTGTTCAGTGCACATTTTGCTGTTTGAACAACAAACACGATGCAGACAGACACCCAGTTGCCAGGTGTACATAAGCTAAAAAACTCCAGCAGATTACAATCAGGGGTTTAAGAATGTAATTATAAAGAGGCAAATTAATTAAAAGCAATTAAAACCTTTGCAAATGTTGTTGCAGAGTGTGTATAATTTGTCTGATGCCAGTTGTGTGCAAACAAGTGTCTGGTGATGAATATGACAGCCAAATGCTTTCACAGGAAGTGATTAGTGTTGATGACAGAAGCAGAACAAAAATTACATATTAATTACCACATACTTAACAGCCCTGTTTAATTACATGCATTGAAACAAAATTACTAGACGCAAAGTCACAATCCCCAAATTGTCTTGAAAATGTTATGGTTTTTTATTGTAAATGCCCATCCCACAGCACAAGTCTTTGTAGCACCACAATATATTCCAATAGCTTTTTCTGGCAGGTATCCACAAAATACTTCCAGCTTGTTCATTAGCCCTCTCATGGAATTTTCCACGACATGATCTGCTTCTGTGATTAGAAGGGATATAAAAAAATTTACAAGAACAATATTCAAATACCCCCCCCAAAAAAAAGTTTCAGACTGACATTTTTTTCTTCGGCATGTCTGTATTTCCTCACAGATGTTAGAATGAATAGGTAAAAGGTGCTTCTTTTTTAAGTTGTATTAATTATAATGTAATATATTGGCCTTTGCTTCCCTTTTAAATTCTATTAAATAATTATTTAATAAAAAATAATTTATTATAAGTTGAGTTTCTATAGAATGTAAATAAATCCTATATAGTTATTCCACAGTAGACCTTCTGGCCTTCTGGAAATTCCTGCCAGTAGAAACAAACGATGAACTCCGAATGTGGGCTTTAAAGAGGAAGAAGATTTTCAGTGGACAATGACATTACACTATGGAACTGAAGTTGACTTCACAAAATAACCACTGAACAACGTATGGAAATCTAATTATTTATGCATATGCAAAGATCTCACCCCTAATCACAAAATGTATTGCAATTGAGAGAAGTGGTCTGAAGTAAAAAATCTGGCTGCAGGTACAGTATATCTAAGTATGTTGTGTGTTCTTTGGAAACTACCTTCTTTATAAAAAAGTAAAACTCTTTAACACCTCTGCTGAACTGCACTGCTTCTTGCAATCCTGTAATAGTATATATGAATGGTAGGAGGAGGCAAGATGGAGGTTCTTATTTAAAAACCAATGGGAAGAGGAGTCAAATGAGAGCAAGCCAGATCTGAAACTGTGGATGTCCAGATGGACTATGACCTGGGAAGAGGCAAAAGTTTTACTTTTTTGTTGTGCTGTCTGATTTTTGTGTCCAAAAAGGAATGTGACAAGAGTTAGGTTAGTGCTCCGGGTGACCTAGGTTTCCGTCTGTTCTCTCAGTAAATTAGCACACCTGTCCACAGGGGTCTTGCTGTCTCAGACCCTTTTAGCCAATGTCCACCTGGGATTTCCTCCCCTTAAACATTTTATTTCTGCAGCAGAACATAGCAGGAGCCTGGTTCAGGTCTTAAATTGAAGCTTACACCGTTGGTTTTGAGTGTGAACAGTCAAATTTATTTTATTCTCTTTTATGTCCACTCGGCAGACAAACATGAAAAACAAAACCTCAAAAACAGCAGGTAGCTGAAAATGCGTGTAGGCCTTGTCCTCGGTGTCAACTAGCCTGGATAAAAATTTGGGACAAATTGATCAATTTGAAAAATTCTACATAATGTTTTGTGAAGACTGGACCTGGAATAAAATTTCTCGCAACCCAAAACAAATGATAAAAATTATTGAAAGCAATAAAACCAAAAGCCATTGCAATTGCCATAAAACCTTTAGACATTGCTAGAGAGGCTTTTCCTGCTGTTAGGCATTACAAAAACCCTCAAGAGTTGCCTTCTGGTGTGAAAAAAGGACCACTGATAAGAAACTGATTGATTACACCTTATGAGTCAATGACTGACAGCTTGAAGGAAGGTGGATTGCAGCCCACTAAGGGCTCTGAATGGCTGATAATACAATGAATGACGGCGCTTTTTACCAACCAGATTACCTTATTTCAGGCAGTCCAGTTTCAAATATCTATTCTAAAGCCAAGAACTTTCAGTTTCTTCCAGGTCTGGGTTAGTATAGCCTTTTGTGCATATATATCATACTTCCGAATAAGGTAAAAACATGGGATTTATTTTTTTTTGCTGTTGCGGTGATTTTTTGCTGGCTTATTGATACACTTTGGAAGTTTGCTGAAGTGCATTAATATCAGATAGTGTCCTTGTGCATGAGTGCTTTGGTGTTTATCGGTTCTGATAGCAGTTTGGTAAACCTCCGGTTGTCCCTTTTCGATTGGCAGCAGGGTTTCTGTAAAGGTTTTGTGGTTTTGTTGGTGGAAAACGATTAAATACGACGCAGGTCTCAAAAGAAAATATTGACTTAGTCCGTGGTCGCAAGTGGTAATGCGGCGCGCAGTCATTCTTCGATTAATTACCTTGGTGTTTTTCGGTTCGGAAAACGGCTTTGGGACAGTTTTCGATTGATACAAGGGTTTCTGTAAAGTTTTTGTTGATGCAACAGGATGAAGGGAGACGCGGGTCTTAAGTGCTTTAATACTGTAATGCTCCCAGGGTTCGCCGACGGAAAGAAACAGGCTGGAGGCTCTGGCGCGGGTTGGCAGGACATTTATTGAAGACGGTCGGGTTACACACATAGGGACAGGGGCGGTACTGCACCACATCTACACATGCACAAGAGGGAAGAGGGCGTGTCCAGCTGTCCCCCTATATACGGGCGTGTAGCCCCGCCCCGGTAGTCCCGCCCCTCAGCCGCCGTTCCCAGCCTGCCTTGCGTCTGCGCACGGCTACAGCGCCACACGTGGGCGCTACTCTACTCTGATTTAGCGCGGCGTCAATTGAAATGAAGTTTCAATTCTCATTGGTTTGAATGGTGAAGGTCTTACTTCGAGGTCTTTTATTCTGTTATCACAAATGTATTAGAAGAAACACTTGTTTACAAACTCTAGTTCACTCGAGCACATTCTTGCATCTTTTTCAATTCTTGCAGCAAGGCTCTCCGTCCTGTGTGTGTGTGTTGGTGTGTCTTTCATTCGTCGCTGAACTGCCTCCGTTCAGGACCTGAAAAAACAAAGATCAAAACTATCTCTCTGGTGGAATCAACAGTGAAATGATGGTGAATAAAGTGTGTTAAGATTTCACTATTAGTGAAATAAATGTCCTTTCAGTGACGATACTGAAAGGAAGCGAGATTGTGTTAGAAGACCTTTCAGTTATTGGTTGGCAGTGCTAGATTCTCCTGGAGATTGCTGCGATCTTTCCTAAATACTTTATGTGTTTGATTTACAGTACAACTTGCTTGCTAAGATATGACTGATTATAGACCCAGAGATTGTCTTTGTGTAAGGAGACTGATTTGTACTTCATTGGAGTTTTCTTTTAGATCAAACAGTAAGTCCTCTTTTCATTAAGAAATCTTACTAGACTCTTTCTTGTCTAACATACCAAACTTAGTATGTAACAGAACCTTTTACATCAAAGAACTTTTTGTGTGAACTACAATTTTGTGTTTGATGGACACAGCTTTCTTTTGCTAGACATGAAAACAAAAGCTCTCCAAACTTTGTTTCCTGCAAGTACTTACTGTAGATGTCTGTCTGGAAACTGTCAATTTCTATAGTAGAAAAAAAAATTAAAAGGAAAAATAAAGTTTTTGTTGTAACATTTATTTTGAATATCTCTAGTTGTCTTGCTTCCATAAAAAAAAGTATTCAAAGCAGACAATTACACTTTAAGTGTTGCCTTTTCTCCTTACAAGACTGGGTTTTAATTTACTGTTACTCCATCAAAACAGAACATCTTCTGCTGCTTCCAACTGATTTTGCTGACTACTTCAGGGTCTGTTATTTTTTTCTGAACTGACTAACTAATTAAGTCCATTAGCATCCTGCCAAGAGGAACCGTAGTAATAATAGCCTTGTTGATTTCCTTGGCTTTTATACCCATTGAGAATGCACACTTAACTACAGCTCAAAGATGGTAATTAACTAAAAGATTGGTTTAAAACACTTGAGAAGTCTGAGACAGGGAGAGGCCTGATTATAAAGCTCTGTATGGATTCCTTTTCAAATTGCTGAATGACATTAGGAATCTATATTGTTTTCTACTGACGTTCACTGATTGTTATTGATTATTGGGCATTCAGATGGAAATAATGCTCATTAAGAAATGGGGCTTGGAGATCATTAGTTAAAACTGGCGTTAACTATATTCCAAATAATTCTCACAGCAACCGACTTGCCAGAATTGAGCACAGAAACTGTACAGAAGGAAGTGCATTTTCCTGCTGCAGTTTTTTTAGATTGTGACATTGAGCTCTAGTGTCATGTGTAATTTGTTTCTAATCTTTTTCAGAGAGAATTGAAAAACCTGTAATTTCATGCAACATGTTATACTTTGTGCTTTGCTTTATATCACCTTCGCCACATGTGATACCTAATTATCTTTAAATTTGCACTGTACATTTGTTTACCTAAATAATATTTTTTTTGCTATTTACTGTCATATTTGACATGGCATATGGTCTATACCCTGCTGATAACTTTGAATTCCTATTTTCCTCCAAGATAGCAGGACAGGATAAAGGCACAGTCGAATCTGGCCCTGTTTTGAGATAACAAAGTCCTGATTGCAAATCTGATCCCTTCCATTAATTTCCTGAGCCAACCCCCCCAGGCAATAGCCTTCCCTTTACCTCTGCAGGCAAGCGCTGTTATAAATGACATGTCAGGGGTGAGACTTATCACACAATGGGATCTGGTATTAGTCAAAGCTGCAGGGAAATTTAAGTGCTGGCACCCCGACCTCATATACAGCGTGATTCACATTCCATTATCTGCAGTATTATGGTGTTAATGTAATTAGGGGGCAGACAGTTCACAGTGGGGGAACGTAAATTGCCAGGATTTGCTTTTGCAAGTTAACCTTTATAGTGTGCA